GGATTAATTTCGAAATTTTGTTCATTGTGTTGTCAGCTATGTAGTATCATAATGTTGTATGAAACTTTGTTCTGTTTAGTACTATTATATTTAATATATTGCATAGTATTATGTCGTCTCATTCAATTTTATTTGCTTCCTTAAAGGATTAATTTCGAAATTTTGTTCATTGTGTTATCAACTATGTAGTATCGTAATGTTGTATAATTAATTGAAATTTTGTTCTGTTTAGTATTATTATGTTTAGTATGCTGCATAATGTTATGACGTCTCATTCAATTTTATTCCTTGAAGGATTAATTTCGAAATTTTGTTCATCGTGTTGTGATCTATGCAGTATCATAATGTTGTATGAAATTTTGTTCTGTTTACTATTATTATATTTAGTATACTGCGTAGTATTATGGCGTCTCATTCAATTTTATTTGCTTCCTCGAAAGATTAATTTCGAAATTTTGTTCATTGTGCTGTCAACTATGCAGTATGAATTAATTGAAATTTTATCTATGTTTAATTATAAATAATAAATAATTAATTATATAAATTATAAATAATCCATTCCTTCGTAATTATTATTCATTTCGTCAGAATGCAAAGGCAATCTATCGGACGAGCCGATGGTTGGATTAGCCAATTTGATCGAAGGGGCGGCTTATTCCTATCTCGGCGATGCTCAAGCAGCGATCGAAAGTTACAGAGGTTGTCTGAAGCGTCGCAGTCCCAACAACGACGCCTACGACCAACACGTCAGCGCGTTCGCGCTTTACGAACTTGGCACTGCACTCTGCAGCGTTAACGTAAGGAAAAAAAAGTCGAATTTTCATCGATGTCTGAGCAACGAAGGAAAACTCACGTTTAATTTCAGAACGTCGAGGAAGGGAAAATGGTCCTTTTAAGAGCTCAGAACCAATACAGGGACTACGACTTCGAGAGCCGTCTGAACGTACGAATACACACCAGCTTGAGGAACTTCAACTGACGACGAATGAAAATCGAACGTTTGCGCCTTCACTTGCTGCAGAACATGCCGATGGAATCTAAAGTACGATAATAACCAGCGTGAGAGACAACTGCTTCGTCTGTTCAACCGAAGCAGAGATTGATCATCGGCGATCAATAGGAGAACTCAAGAAACTCAGGTTCCTGCGAACGTATAGTTGCTCTAGAGATGAAATCAGGTATATCAAGAGTGTTCGTTCATTCCGTCTATATAAACGTAGAAATTATTGTAACAATAATAATACCAGCCGGCTGCATTTAACACTGTACGAGTTACGGGGAAACATCCTATTGTTAAATATGATGTATATAATATTTATTCGTTGCTATTATTATGTGTATATACATACACGTACGCGTATATACAAGTCTAAGCTACGTAACATGTATATGTAGACGAAGGGAGGGGACAAGGAATGTCGAGTTACGAGATAGCCTTGTTATTTGTTAAATAATTAAACATAGAGAACAATAATAACGATAATAATAACATTTAGTAGTTCGATAATTGTGAAATTATTAATGACAGACATTCCATGCTCTCTCCCCCTTGTCCTTTATATACTTATACGAATAGGGTGCAAGATATACCTCCGTAAATTAATATTAAGGACAAATGTTACGCTACAGTTGCTTTTATGAAATTTTTACGCCGTATGATTCTGTCATTTATTAGGAAATGTTCTGTCACTTTATTAGGAAATTATATATCCGAAAAGAATTAAGTTGATATTAAGGAATGTATTTTATTATAATTTTATCCACGTTGTGCAGCTATCAGTAGAATTGTCGATCTAGTTGCATATTGCATTCATTTTGTTATTTGAATGTTTAGTAATTTTTTTTTTTTTTTTTAATGAAACGCTCAACTGAAGCAATCAACGTTTGTCGAAATTGAGCATCCTTTGATAGCGTAGGTATGCACAGTCAGCAATAAAACATGTACTAAATCAAATACTTTTCTACGGAAAAACTAGTCGGTGAAATTGATTGAGATTCAGCATATATATTATATTACAAATAAAATTATTTCATTTAAAAACTTATACGCGTTAAATGTTTATTTTTAGGGATACTCCACATTTTCGTAGAACGTGTTAAATTTTCAACATCTTGTTACGCAAGGTGTGTAAAAAGAAAAAGAATTTAACTGTCTGTAAGGTAAGTCTAGGATAAGAATAATTAAAAATAATTAAAAACTGTCAACTGTAATGAGCTTTACAAAATTAAGAAACAGTTGATTTATAATCTGTATCAAATGTCTAAGCATTGACTAACTAAGATAGATCAGGCAACCTTTTTGTGTCCTATTTTGGACCTCATGATATATACAAATAAAATAATTTAATTATTTTAAATAAATTACTCAAACTATACAAACTAATGCACTTCTATGATATATATTAGTTAATAAGTTTAACTATTATTGTATTACTATATTAACTATTATTATTTTAACTATTATTATATAATAATTATTATTTTAACTATTATTATATAATTTTAATATATTAGTTAATAATTTTGACTATTATTATATAATTTTAATATATTAGTTAATAATTTTAACCATTTATTTTTGCAACAGTTGAGTCAGTAATTTAATTACTTTATATTTTTAAATATTACCTCGTA